AATCATAACAGAGGGGTGTGGCCACTGGTGTCAGGTGTCAATCATAACAGAGGGGTGTGGCCACTGGTGTCAGGTGTCAATCATAACAGAGGGGTGTGGCCACTGGTGTCAGGTGTCAATCATAACAGAGGGGTGTGGCCACTGGTGTCAGGTGTCAATCATAACAGAGGGGTGTGGCCACTGGTGTCAGGTGTCAATCATAACAGAGGGGTGTGGCCACTGGTGTCAGGTGTCAATCATAACAGAGGGGTGTGGCCACTGGTGTCAGGTGTCAATCATAACAGAGGGGTGTGGCCACTGGTGTCAGGTGTCAATCATAACAGAGGGGTGTACCCACTGGCTTCAGGGGCATGTTCAAGATCACAACGGTGCGCAACGTTTTGCTACGGTTTCCGGGTTGAACGTCATGTTTCCTGGAAACGGCGTGCACCGGTGTGCAATGGGGTTTGAGATGCGTTTTCTCTTGTTTGGTGGGCATGTCAGAACTGCAGTCCAATCAGCAGCAACATGTATCTAAAGCACACGGTATTAAAGTGAACTCGCACAATGGAAGTAATTTACAAATGTGTTCGATATGCAACAACTAAGGATATTAGAAGACATGTTTGTCATAAGTATTATTGTAAAAATATACGATATCAACATAATGATGTAGTTGTTTATATTTTTAGCTTCATTACAAGTGTGTGACATTTGGTATAGAAATAAACAATGCATGTAAAGTGCTTTTCCTAAAAATGAGAAAGAAAATACAGGGTATTAATAAAACATTATGAACAACAAGAATGTGAGGCTAAATAGATGTGTTTTAGTCTTTATTAGGTAAGATGTGCTTCCATTTCAGTTTCCACAAATCCCTTCACTCGATTGGGATGTTCTCTTGTGTTCTGGGCGGCAAGTGCAGTAACTGTAACATCGGGCATATTTTGTAGTATTAAACACATATTTATACCGACTTAATCAGGCTCCGAAAATTCTTCACAAAGAACACAAAAAGCCTTCTCAGCTGCCGTAGTTGCAACTCTTGCGTCATCACAACAGTGCGTTCAAAGCATCACCGTTTCTGTTTAAAAAACGTTCTGCAACGTTTTGTCGGCGCTGAACGCAGCCCAGGTGTCAATCATAAAAGATGGGCATAGCCACTGGCTTTAGGTGTCAAACATAACAGAGGGGTGTGGCCACTGGATTCAGGTGTCAATCATAACAGAGGAGTGTGGCCACTGGCTTTAGGTGTCAATCATAACAGAGGGGTGTGGCCACTGGATTCAGGTGTCAATCATAACAGAGGAGTGTGGCCACTGGCTTTAGGTGTCAATCATAACAGAGGGGTGTGGCCACTGGATTCAGGTGTCAATCATAACAGAGGAGTGTGGCCACTGGCTTTAGGTGTCAATCATAACAGAGGAGTGTGGCCACTGGCTTTAGGTGTCAAACATAACAGAGGGGTGTGGCCACTGGATTCAGGTGTCAATCATAACAGAGGAGTGTGGCCACTGGCTTTAGGTGTCAATCATAACAGAGGGGTGTGGCCACTGGATTCAGGTGTCAATCATAACAGAGGAGTGTGGCCACTGGCTTTAGGTGTCAATCATAACAGAGGGGTGTGGCCACTGGATTCAGGTGTCAATCATAACAGAGGAGTGTGGCCACTGGCTTTAGGTGTCAATCATAACAGAGGAGTGTGGCCACTGGCTTTAGGTGTCAAACATAACAGAGGGGTGTGGCCACTGGATTCAGGTGTCAATCATAACAGAGGAGTGTGGCCACTGGCTTTAGGTGTCAATCATAACAGAGGGGTGTGGCCACTGGATTCAGGTGTCAATCATAACAGAGGAGTGTGGCCACTGGCTTCAGGTGTCAATCATAACAGAGGGGTGCGGCCACTGGATTCAGGTGTCAATCATAACAGAGGAGTGTGGCCACTGGCTTTAGGTGTCAATCATAACAGAGGGGTGTGGCCAGTGGTGTCAGGTGTCAATCATAACAGAGGGGTGTGGCCACTGGTGTCAGGTGTCAATCATAACAGAGGGGTGTGGCCACTGGTGTCAGGTGTCAATCATAACAGAGGGGTGTGGCCACTGGCTTCAGGTGTCAATCATAACAGAGGGGTGTGGCAAGTGGTGTCAGGTGTCAATCATAACAGAGGAGTGTGGCCACTGGCTTTAGGTGTCAATCATAACAGAGGGGTGTGGCCAGTGGTGTCAGGTGTCAATCATAACAGAGGGGTGTGGCCACTGGTGTCAGGTGTCAATCATAACAGAGGGGTGTGGCCACTGGTGTCAGGTGTCAATCATAACAGAGGGGTGTGGCCACTGGCTTCAGGTGTCAATCATAACAGAGGGGTGTGGCCACTGGCTTCAGGTGTCAATCATAACAGAGGGGTGTACCCACTGGATTCAGGTGTAAATCATAACAGAGGGGTGTGGCCAGTGGTATCAGGTGTCAATCATAACAGAGGAGTGTGGCCACTGGCTTTAGGTGTCAATCATAACAGAGGGGTGTGGCCACTGGTGTCAGGTGTCAATCATAACAGAGGGGTGTGGCCACTGGTGTCAGGTGTCAATCATAACAGAGGAGTGTGGCCACTGGCTTTAGGTGTCAATCATAACAGAGGGGTGTGGCCACTGGATTCAGGTGTCAATCATAACAGAGGAGTGTGGCCACTGGCTTTAGGTGTCAATCATAACAGAGGGGTGTGGCCAGTGGTGTCAGGTGTCAATCATAACAGAGGGGTGTGGCCACTGGTGTCAGGTGTCAATCATAACAGAGGGGTGTGGCCACTGGTGTCAGGTGTCAATCATAACAGAGGGGTGTGGCCACTGGTGTCAGGTGTCAATCATAACAGAGGGGTGTGGCCACTGGTGTCAGGTGTAAATCATAACAGAGGGGTGTGGCCAGTGGTATCAGGTGTCAATCATAACAGAGGAGTGTGGCCACTGGCTTTAGGTGTCAATCATAACAGAGGGGTGTGGCCACTGGTGTCAGGTGTCAATCATAACAGAGGGGTGTGGCCACTGGTGTCAGGTGTCAATCATAACAGAGGAGTGTGGGCACTGGTGTCAGGTGTCAATCATAACAGAGGGGTGTGGCCACTGGCTTCAGGTGTCAATCATAACAGAGGGGTGTACCCACTGGATTCAGGTGTAAATCATAACAGAGGGGTGTGGCCAGTGGTATCAGGTGTCAATCATAACAGAGGAGTGTGGCCACTGGCTTTAGGTGTCAATCATAACAGAGGGGTGTGGCCACTGGTGTCAGGTGTCAATCATAACAGAGGAGTGTGGCCACTGGCTTTAGGTGTCAATCATAACAGAGGGGTGTGGCCACTGGATTCAGGTGTCAATCATAACAGAGGAGTGTGGCCACTGGCTTTAGGTGTCAATCATAACAGAGGGGTGTGGCCAGTGGTGTCAGGTGTCAATCATAACAGAGGGGTGTGGCCACTGGTGTCAGGTGTCAATCATAACAGAGGGGTGTGGCCACTGGTGTCAGGTGTCAATCATAACAGAGGGGTGTGGCCACTGGTGTCAGGTGTCAATCATAACAGAGGGGTGTGGCCACTGGTGTCAGGTGTAAATCATAACAGAGGGGTGTGGCCAGTGGTATCAGGTGTCAATCATAACAGAGGAGTGTGGCCACTGGCTTTAGGTGTCAATCATAACAGAGGGGTGTGGCCAGTGGTGTCAGGTGTCAATCATAACAGAGGGGTGTGGCCACTGGTGTCAGGTGTCAATCATAACAGAGGGGTGTGGCCACTGGTGTCAGGTGTCAATCATAACAGAGGGGTGTGGCCACTGGTGTCAGGTGTCAATCATAACAGAGGGGTGTGGCCAGTGGTATCAGGTGTCAATCATAACAGAGGAGTGTGGCCACTGGCTTTAGGTGTCAATCATAACAGAGGGGTGTGGCCAGTGGTATCAGGTGTCAATCATAACAGAGGGGTGTGGCCAGTGGTATCAGGTGTCAATCATAACAGAGGGGTGTGGCCAGTGGTATTAGGTGTCAATCATAACAGAGGAGTGTGGCCACTGGCTTTAGGTGTCAATCATAACAGAGGGCTGTGGCCACTGGTGTCAGGTGTCAATCATAACAGAGGGGTGTGGCCACTGGCTTCAGGTGTCAATCATAACAGAGGAGTGTACCCACTGGTGTCAGGTGTAAATCATAACAGAGGAGTGTGGCCAGTGGTATCAGGTGTCAATCATAACAGAGGGAAGTGGCCACTATGCTCAGATTTTCTCAGAAGCATCAGCGATCAGATCAATGTCATTCCAGTGAGATCTGAAAAGTGATATCAATCAAACATTCCAACAAACTTCAAACACAGTGGTGAATTAAAGAGCGATGAAGAGGGAAAGTTGTGTGTGTGTGTGTGTTGGGACTTGAATCTTCAAAGCAAACAAAATATGTAAGCTGATTCTTCACAAACCACATCAAATGACAGAAGTGTGTGTGTGTGTGTGTGTGTGCGCGTTTCCCACCGCAGCGCTTGCTGCATCTGATGTTTCTTGAGCCAAGCAGTAACTGCAGATGGACTGATGAGCGGAGCGAGTGAGCAGGCGAGTTGTACCGACACACTGTGCCCAGGTGGACTATTAAAACACACACACACACACACACACACACACACACAGAGTAAGTGATATTACACACGCACACGGAGGAGTTGAGAGCCGCAGGGCCGCTGTTGTTTCCTCCGCCTGCTTTAGATGGACATCAAACACACGCATGTTGTGTTTCAGCCTCACAGCCTGCCAGAAAAAAGAACAGCGTGTAAGAAAGGTATAAAGAACATGTAAGCAGAGGTCAAAATGAACACTCATCGAGAACCAAATGAGACTAAACATTGGCAAGTGAATAAAACGGCTGGAAAGAAACTTTTTAAGGAACTATACACATATTATCAAGAATAATCTTGCATTCCCTGATGTGAGTTACAGTAAGTGAGCGATTCAAATGAAAGACAAACAATCCAGCTATAAAAAATACATTAGCATGACTTACTGTAAAGCTTCAGACATTTAAACACACTGCAAATAGTGTATTACAGATTAACTGACTTTGAATACATATCTTTCTTAATTTTACCTTTAGTATTATATATATGCCTTTTATTATTATGATGAATTAAAATGAAGTAAAATCTACAATTCATTTGAATTTTAGTTTAAGTTTTAGTCAATTTATGTGCTAGTCATAATTTGTATTAGTTTTTGTTTATATATATATATAATTAGTGCTGATGGTCAAGTCGAATAATCATGATTAATCGCATCTAACATAAAAGTTTGCATATATATATATATATATATATATATATAAGTGTGTGTATGTTGGTGTACATATATACACACACACAATATAATATTTACAAACTTTTTGTTAGATCGATTAATCAATTTGACAGCACTTATATATGCGTGTGTATATATATATATCTTTAGCTTCAATATTGTAGTAAATTTAGTACTTCAAACTTATTTTATGTCAGTTAGATGCCAGGGTAATATTTCTAAGATTTTTAGGTTTAAGTTTTGCTTACGTTTTCATTTCAGCTTTATTAATTACCAAAAATTATTTTAAATACTTTTACGTTTAAGCTAACTACAACAACATTGGTGATAAAACATAAAATTTTCCTCACATTAAGCCACCAAACAAACTTGAAACATGAAACGTCACTTATCTTACATACGATGTCACGATCTGCACAGTTGGTCATTAATGTACAAGGGGAAAAACCAACTAAATTCCATTTTCATAGGAACAAAAATGCAAAAAAAAAAAGAGTTTCACTTTACCTAAGTGTGACAAAAAGTACATGCTAGACCCTGAGTGTGTGCATGTAAAGTCAATTAAATCAGTTGCACAATAAAAACGCGTTTGCCTCACTGAAAATGAAGGTCTGCCTTCCTAACGGGAAAGGGTCAAAACTCTCCTGCCCTCGAAGGCCACGCAGAAAGGCCACGTTTGTGGTTTAACTATCTAGTGTTTTTCTCCTCTGGGTGCTTTTGTGTTCCATCATGAAGGCGGATCAAATCCGTCCCTCTCAAACGGCTGAACCGTGTTGCGGTGAGATCAAAGTAAGTCGAGGTGGACGTTGTTTCCACTTCTTTTGAAGACACAAAACCTTTCTGACTAACTCTAACTCTGCTTCAATGACATGTTCATGTGCAATCCGCTTTGACGGAGATGTGGACTTGAACAGGACGTCAAAAGCCACGTACGTTCGGTCTATCAGTTTAACCATGAAGTCTCACAAACACACGCCTTTGAGATTCATTGAATACAAACGTCTTCCGGAGTCAGACCGTAGGCTGAGTATCGACCGATCTCACTTCCACCGCCACCACAACATCCTGCCCAAAGTCCTGTACGTCAGGAACCAGTGTCTGCACTATCAGCGCATCAACGCCGACTGACTCAAGTGTACTCAAAGTTTTTATTTTCCAGGATTCCTGAGGGATGGGTGTCAAGATGAATGTTAATTGCCTGTTAACCTCACACCACATCTTGTTCCTGTTGATGTTTCGGTCATCTTTTTTTTTTGTGTGATTAGCAAGGCGTGAAATCGTTTAAAACATGCTTTATTAAAAGTCATCAGCTCCTAATAACATCCCTCAGAGCAGTTGCAAACGTCTGAAGTCGACATTTGAAGTGGATCAAAACCTTTCATCAAAGTTATACATGAATTTTGAACAATACCCGTTCTTGCCTAAGATGAACTTTTTTGATCCACTTCAAATGTTAAGTATATATGGACAAAAGTATTGGGACACACCTCTTAATTGTTGAATTCAGGTGTTTCGATGAGACCCACTGCCACAGGTGTATGAAATCTAGCACCTACTCATTCAGTCTGCATTTACAAACAATTGTGAAAAAATGGGTGGTTCTGAAGAGCTAAGGGTATGTTTCCACGACACCGTTTTCAACTAAAAACGTAAAACTTTTAATGCGTTTTGGCCGTTCGTTTACACGACAACTGAGTTTTGGGTGCCTGAAAACGCGAACTTTTGAAAACGTGAATCTCTGAAGACGATGACGTCATGCACATGCGTATTACGTGTTCAGTCTATAGTGTTTCATCGCCATTTAATGGTCTGGCAGCAGAATAAAGCGTTTTCGCGGATCCATGTGAATTGGGATCGTTTTGACAATGGTGTCGCCTGTACGCGGAAAACTGAAAGGAAAAACGTCTCAGTTTTAAGCGTATCGTTATCGTGTAAACGTACCCTCAGTGAATTCAAGCGTGGTTTTGTGATAGGATTCACGTCTGTAAAAGTCTCCAACGCTCTGCTTATTCCACCACTTAAGAGTTCAAAAGTATTACAGGCATTAATATCAGCACAAAACCTGTGGGGCGGGAGCTTCACGGAGTGGGTTTCCATGATGTAAAGCACGTCGCCACTGGACTCTGGATCCGTGGAAATGAGTTCAGTGCAGGGACGGATAATGACTCTGTTTGCCAGGCTGATGGGAGAGTCTGGGTTTGGCGGATGCCAGAAGGACTTTACCTGCCCGACTGCATTGTGCAACTGTGAAGTTTGATAAAGGAGGGATAATGGTTTTGCCTTTTTCTGAGGGTTGGGCTAGTCTCCTTACTTCAAGTGAAGGGAAATCTTAATGCTTCAGCAAACCAGGACATTCTGGACAAGGCTATGCTTGTAGCTTTGTGGGAACCGTTTGGGAAGGTCCTGCTCTATTCCAGCATGAGTCTCAGCGCACAAAGTAAGATCTATAAAGACATGGTTGAGTTTGGTGTGGAAGAACTTGACTGGGCCTCACAGAGCCCTGTCCATCCATCCATCCATCCATCCATCCATCCATCCATCCGCCCATCCATCATCCGCCCATCTATCCATCCATCCATCCATCATCCGCCCATCTATCATCCATCCATCCGCCCATCCATCCATCCATCCACCAATCCATATATCCATTCATCCACCCATCCATCCATCCATCCATCCATCCATCCGCCCATCCATCCATCCATCCATCCACCCATCTATCCATCCATCCATCCGCCCATCCATCCATCCATCCATCCATCCATCCACCCATCTATCCATCCATCCATCCATCCATCCATCCATCCATCCATCCATCCATCCATCCATCCATCCGCCCATCCATCCACCCATCTATCCATCGATTCATCAGTCCATCCATCCACCCATCCATCCACCCATCCATCCATCCATCCATCCATCCTTCCTTCCTTCCTTCCATCCATCCACCGGTCCATCCATCCTTCCTTCCTTCCATCCATCCACCGGTCCATCCACCCATCCATCCACCCATCCACCCATCCATCCATCCATCATCCATCTATCAATCCATCCATCCATCTATCATCTGCCCATCCATCCATCCCAAAACTTTGTCAAGTCAACATTAAAAAAGGTTTTCTAGTTAAAAATTAGTCATAGTGCATTTCTTTGAACATCAATTCTGCTTTACATTCAAATCTATTTGAATCGCAATTCTGCATCATTCTTAAACATTACCGAACCCTCTTATCAAGATTTCAAATGTTTCGTTGTACTTTCCCAAAACCATCACTTAGTGTTTACCAGAGTTGAAGCGAGGTGACTTAACATGCTTGATGAAGATGACTCGTCATCTTTGGCCAGATAACCCATTAAAACACTGAAAGGAGGCAATGGGTGGCGATGGCTGAATTTAACCGTTTGTTCTGTTCAGACCTGGCGCTGCTTCTCAGGGCGTTGCTGAAACATTCGTGTCCCGCAGATCCTCAATGCCTGATACAACCCAACAGTCACACCTTCATCCAGGAGATCAGAGAGGGAGCGTCTACCACAGGCTGAAATGAGTCTTCACTTCTAATATTAGTCACCACTCATCCACGAGCTGCAGAACAACACAGCAAAGAAAGAACAATTCAGACTTCTAATGTTACATGTACGCAAAAACTACTTCAAAAAACATCTAAGAGTGTTTAGATGCTCTGCCATTTTTACAGCATTGTCTTCGTTGACCTGCAATCAAGTACAATTATGATGACAAATGCTTTGGGATTTTCGACAGCCCAACCAGGTTTTTTTTTTTTTTACCAGAAAAGTGACCTTATTCTTCAATTACAAAAGCATTCCAGAGAGACTGTTGCATTGTGGGTGTCCGTTACGCGCCAGCGGGCATCAGTGGGCGGCCGTGTTTGCAGGTCTCTGGATTAAGGGTGGGGTCAGATGGCAGATTCAGAGCCAGCGCTTGGGAACTGGACGGCTGCCCGGACGCAGACTGGTGTGGACGCCCTGCTGGAGGAGAACATGTGCTCGTGATGCTCCTCACTTTGGGTAAAAGAGGCTGTGAAATGAATAAATGTAAATGCAAACGAGAGTCTGTGCGAAATTTGAGGCCACAGTACTAGCATGCATGTTTATTTAAAATTGAACATTTAACATTATACATGCACTTTTGTTCAAATGCAGGTATTGAACATTGTGCATGCAAAAATAAATCTGAAAAAGAAAAAAGAAATGCAAAAATTAAATGAAAAGTAAATAAAGCTCACAAACTTTTAAAGTCTTTCTTATTTTAAAAAAAGGTGTTTAATTCTGTGTCTATGTACAGCCTTGCTTCTGTCAACAAAACCATAAAGTTGTAGTTTTTTTTAGTAAACTTTGGCAACAATATAAGCAAATGAAATGAATAAAATAACTTTCTCCTCCTTGAATGCTCATTCAGTTGCTAGGATAGATGGTGCACTTGCATTCACAAGTGTAAAGATCACTTAGTGTTATGAGGTTAGGACTCGAAAGTAGTTTTGAGAACAGATGCCCGTCATTAATGAAAGCAGCTTATTCACGCTACACAAATGACTATACAAACTGTGTGTGTGTGTGTGACTGAGAGTGTCTGTGTGTGTGTGTGAGACTGAGAGTGTCTGTGTGTGTGTGTGTGTGTGTGTGACTGAGAGTGTCTGTGTGTGTGTGTGAGACTGAGAGTGTCTCTGTGTGTGTGTGTGTGTGTGTGT